ATGGAACTGAGAGGAGATGGTCATCTTGGGAGTGGGCTCCATGGAACTGAGAGGAGATGGTCAATTTGGTAGTGGGCTCCATGGAACTGAGAGGAGATGGTCATTTTGGGAGTGAGCTCCATGGAACTGAGAGGAGATGGTCATTTTGGGAGTGGGCTCCATGGAACTGAGAGGAGATGGTCATTTTGGGAGTGGGCTCCATGGAAACACCTCTACTGGAAGGAATTATTTCACTGGTGTCCACACCACTGCTCTGGGAGAAGACAGGCCATGCTCAGCTGAAATCATGGCCGCTGAGTTAACATGGGACATAGCAGTGAGCCCTGGGAGCCTCCTTCCTCGCAGAAACCTGGCCTCACATTGCAGATGGTTTGCAAGCATCAGTGGATAACAAGGTCCACGTGGGATTTCCAGCCTTCTCCTCAAAGTCCACGCTCAGGAGCTGCCTCTTCCCTTGCCTGATCACGGCAGCAGCTCCCTTTGGGGCAGCAGCCCAACACCCAGGGTGGGTCCCGAAGGCGAGGAGGCTGCAGGAGGACATTTGTGTGTTTCGTTTGCCACCAGCAGAAGTTTGCCGGAGCCCAGATTTAGCAGTCTCCTGGTTGCGATGAGCATCTCTCCCAACAGTCAGTTCCCCAACTGTTAAGCTGAGGCATGACCTCTGTGATGTAAACAGCCTGGATCCATCTGCTCCTTGAGCACAAAGTATGTGGGAGAGGAAAAGAAATTATTCCCATCCTAGCGAGGCTCCTCAGCTCTTCTCCCTAAATACGAACAGGCACTGGGATCGCATGAGACTCTGTTGAGAGGAGATGGAGCTGCTCCAGGCAGGGGCTTGGAGAGCCAGTTCTGCTGTGGCTTTGGCATTTATTACCACGTCTATTAACTTTCCCCCTCTATGGGTGCAATTACGGATCAATTAATTCTGACTGAAAGCAGGAAAAGATTAAAAAAAAAAAAAAATTGGCCGTGTTCCTCTCTGGAAACAGGTACGGAGCCCAAGGAGATGTGACTGCTCAGCTTTTAAAGGCACACAAGCTGCTGTGATAATCCTGGCAGAAGAGAGTCGGTGGGAGCGAGCGAGGATGGARCATCCACTGAAACGCTGTTGGAGTSACCTGAACGAGTCTGTGATYCCSAGGCTGCCCTGTGGCCTGACAGGTTGCATTTGCTGGAGATTTGCGAAGATCTGCTCTCCCTTTCTTTGTGAAATTRTTGGGATTTGGGGTTTCTTTTCCTCAGCTGTTTCTCACGTGAAACAATTTGGATATATGTGTTTGGGCTCTGTCTCTGGAGCAGCAGAGCCCTGTCCCTGCTGCTGGTGGAGTGCCACACCAGGAGTGATCCCAGGAGTGACCCCAGGAGTGACCCCAGGAGTGACCACAGTTCCTGTCCAGTCACTGCTTTGCCCCTCCTGGCGAGAAGATTCCCTGGTGTCCGGCTTGTCCCTGGGAGCCAGAAGATGAAAGAGTGAAGATACAAAATAAGCCGTGCTTGGAGGTGCAACACTGAGGACTCATGCAGCGCTTCCTGAGGACTCATCCAGTACCAAACAGGCTGCGTTCTGACTCTTTCCCACCTCCCTTTCCACAGCCTCTGCAGAAAAAAATTTGGTTTGCAATCAGCCTCCTCCATTCATTGCAGCATCTTCCTCCTGTCGAGGGCCGGGAGACTCCGTTCCCAAAGCCAGTTTTGTACATCCAGCTCCTTCCCAGGGTGGCACAGCTATTATAATSGCTGGTATTTCTGGTCTGCAGCAGTAGCTGAGGGGGTGGAGAGTGGAAGGGGATGCTGCCTGACCTGGCCAAGGAGAAGACATCTGGAAGCTGATGGCAGAGCAAGAAGTCGAGCACAATGGCGAGAAAAATGAAATCCATCTGCCTTKTACCAAACAGGAGAGTAATTTAAACCCTCCTAATTGCTTCCACTCATCCTGGTGATGTTAAGTCTTTTGTCCCTTTAAGTCTTTTCTGCCCCCCACCCCCAGCTCTTACACTAAGCCTTTGAAAGAAACGACTAATGTTATAATTAAAGGATCAATTTGGCATGATTTCTTTGTCTTAAGATCTTTCTTTCAGGTTGGGTTAGCACTGCATTCCCCGTCTCCAGAGAGTTTTGTTCAGTTCCTTCAGGAGCCTTCTGTACCATCTTCTGAAATCTTTTCACTTCAGTTAATTTGAATTTTTTTTCCCCATCCAATTTGGATGCATAACAAACGATGAATAAAATTAAGTTTTATAGCAATTAATAATAAGGGTGTTGAGGGAACAAGTGTACATTTTCAATGGAGAGAGGGTTCTTTTCGCCGGCTCCACGCAAAAACCTGGGCCCCACGTGCCTGAGCGGGATCTGGTACTTTGAAGCCAAAAACTCTGGAAAGAGGGTTAATGTCTCAAAGGTTCATGGATGGGGGAAGTGGGGGACACATCACAATGCAGGARGGCTTGTGGGGAGATCATGAGGTCAAGCAAAATGTCAACAAAAAAAATTTTTTTGCTGTAAGAATGGTCAGGCTTTGGACCAGGCCGCCCAGCTGGGGAAATAATGGAATCAACATCCCTGGAAGTGYTCAAAAAACATGTGGATGTGGCACTTAGGGACATGGTTTWGTGGTGAACACAGTGCTTAATGGTTGGATKTGAGG